AATTTTAATCATTGTAGGCATTGGAATCGGGAATCTTATCAGAATTGGAAATTTAGGACATTTTTGCGAATTGTATCGGATTCATTAAAAATATTGATATCAACCCATCACTAATACACACACATATTTGTGTGTGTATATATATATATATATATATATATATATATATATATATATATATAATATGCTTTCAATGCATTTTTGACACAATAACTCATCATGGGTGTCAGAAAAGCAGATGAAAAGGATAGTGAAAAACAAATATTTCTAAGAACTACAAAGTACAAGAAGTTGTGGAGAGCCATAATCTCCTACATCCTGAATATACTCAACACATCAAATATTATTTTTAAAAATAAGATTTCCTGCCAGATGCATGCATTACAGATCCTTGAGTTTTTCCTTTTTCCCCATTCATTTTACCCATGTTAAAGTGTTATTAGCGACATGTCTGGCTATATTTTCCTCCATTCTAAATGCTATTAGAGTAATTACTGGTTACATCTTCCTTGTTTCTAAATTTTATTAAGGTCATCTCTCCTTGCATCCATTTTCTTTTTTGATTCTGTTTCTTCATTCTTCTGATTTTCATCAAAGAAAGTCTCTACTTTTCCTATTTTTATGATGTTGAGATGAACATTAAAATATTAACAAAATTACTCTCCACTCTCGTCTGTTAATCAAATATTTAATAATCCTGATTTCACCAGCATTCTAAGACCTTGGTTTGTTGAAGATGAGAATAACTGAATCAGATATTGGCAACCAGCTTCTGTTTATGATTTTATGCATTTGTTAATAAAGGCTTCTTGATCATTTTTTTGCTTAATTATCATCAATTAGATGATCGGAATTTATGAAGCATGTTAAATCAAATTATTAAGCTACAACTTAACTATTTCAGCATGTACATACTCTGGGAATGTATATCACTGGAAAATTTAATATTAGGAATAATTCTATTTCAATTTTTCATGTTGTGTGCTTATAATATACATGCTATCATACAAACTAATATTCAAGCTTATGCTTCAGTTGCCTAAACTTTTCAGCACCCTTGTTTAAAAAAAACACACACATAAAGGAATATACAAATAAATAATATTGCTCTTTCTCTCCCCATATATATATATATATATATATATATATATATATATATATATATATAATGAAGTGGACATTGAGGTCAACACCCAGTGCCAACACACTGTTTCTTGCATTTAAGCATGAAACAGACTGTTGCCACTGAGCGTCAAACTCAGTGTCCACTTTTATATTTACATATGCTCTATCCCTGATATTGAGCACTTTAATCCATAAATATAGTATAACTATACACACAAAATACATACATATATGATAAAAAATACTTTTATCATATATGTATATATTCTGTGTATTTAAGCAGTAAATGTTCTTTGAGGCAAATACTATTAAAAATGACAGACATTTTGTGTTGAATAATTTTGATGATTAACTTTTCCAAGTTAAGAATAATCCTTCTTGAAAAGGAGAAAATGCAGTCAAATTGACTGTAGTTCATTTTGGAAGAAAAGTTCAGGAAATATTGTTGAAAGCATGGAGGTTATGGGTTGTTTTCCTTTCTGCCTCTTGCCTTCAACCTGTCCTGTGAATATCAAATTTTCCAAACCTTCTTTCCTCAATACGTGCTCTAGAAATTTCAACATTTCTTTCTGTTGGTAAGTATAAGTGTCTTTTTTGTTTCCATTTTCTCTGAAACTTTGTTGTTGCTCACATGTTTAATCCATGGTATTCTCAGTATATTTGATAACTGTTAGATGATAGGCTTTAAGTCATCACTTTTTAGTATATAACTCTGTTTTATATACTACAAGTATTAATATATAAGAATGCCTAAATAAAAATGTAATTCATCCAAAGAAACCGATAAAAACAATAACTAATGGATGACAATAGAAAAATCAAATGTATATTGATCTGGGTAACCTACTGGGAATTCTGAACTAAAGGCCTTATATAATCTATAGGGGTATATTGTTCTCGTTCTCCTGCCCATGTCTAGGAATATCTCATTTAGTTCTTATTTTTAGTACTACTCAGCTTTTGCTCACCTGTTTCCACTGAGTCCAAGTACCAGCTGCCTGTCCCAGGGATTGAACTTGTAATTACTATATCATAAAATTCACAAACTAACATTTTAATTCATTTGACTATTGTCTTGTAGGGCATATCTCTCTGGTGAACTTGATAAAGCGTTCAGTTCAGAATTCCCTGTAGGTTACCTAATCAACAAACAACTGATGAAGGGCAGAGAGCACAAAGCCGAAACATGCTAACAACAAAGATGAGGACAATAATGCAAACAGTGTAAATAATGATAACGCCTCATTCAAACAGAAATTAGCAAAATCAAAATTGTTATTTCATTTTCCAGCTTGTAAAATCTGCCAAAATAAAGTTGTATAACATGTAATAATAAATTAACACATGAATTAACACATGAAAAGAAATGTAATTGTGATTTCATTTGTTTTATTTATTTTTCTCTTTCTTTTATTGCAGATCTACATATAAAATATTTGCCAACAATTTCTAAAGAACATTTAGTCAAACCATTTCAGACAACAACGGCAATAGAAAACATGAAAAGATACCTTAATTTGTATCTTTTACTCTCAGCTTTTCATAGCTGCATATGTGTGGATTTAACCTTCCAGATTGAGGAAGGTCAGAGTGAAGGTACATTGGTAGGAAATATTGCTGCCAGTGTTGATGCAGAGAATATGATGCAAATTCAAGAAGATCCTCAGATTACATTCCACCTAGTCAAACAAAAAATGCCTGAGAAATTCCAGTTGTTTTATATAAGTAAAACAACTGGAAAGCTGTATACTGCACGAATGCTAGATGCCGAGTCTCTGTGTAAGCCCAGAAGCAAAGAATGCTTTAAAATCCTCGATGTTGTAGTCCGCAGCTTAAAATTTTTAATTAAGGTCCTTGAAATTAAAGTAATCATAATAGATGTCAATGAATATGCCCCACAGTTTCCTGAGAAACAGATCAACTTAAAATTCTCCGAGGATGTCATTCCAGGAACAAAGATGTCAATTCCAAATGCCAAGGATAATGATGTTGGAATACTGAACTCTCAGGTTAGTTATGAGTTCAGAAAGAGTAAAAATGAACCATTTACATTGCAAGCATCTCAGAACGTTGCTGGAACATTTGACCTGAGTATAAAACTGGAACAGAGACTTGACAGAGAGATTGAAGATTCTTATATAGTTGAGGTCATAGCCAAAGATGGAGGAAATCCACCAAAGCAGAGTGTTTTACAGGTCCACATTACTGTCACTGATGTAAATGATAACTTCCCACTCTTCACTCAAAGTGTCTATAATGTTTCTATCAGCAGTGAACATGATGTGGCAATTCCAGTTCTTCGTTTGTCTGCAAAAGATAAAGATATGGGAATCAATCAGAAAATAGCCTATTTCATAAGCTCGGAAACTTCAGAAAAAGTTCAGAACTTGTTCAGAATTGATGAAGAGAGTGGTGAAATTTTTATAAATAATAATTTGCCCATCAAAAGTAAGAGTGTCAATAAGTTGTATGTGGAGGCTACAGATGGAGGTACCCCACCTCTGAGTTCAGTCGCTATGGTTCTGGTGAATGTGATCAATGAACAGAACAATGCTCCCACAATATATGTAAACTCTATACTCATGTCACAAGAAAAGGTATTCCGTGTGACAGAAGATGCTAGCATTGGTAGCTTTATTGCTTACATAAGAGTCACTGATCCTGATACTGGGGATAATGGTGAGGTGTTCTGTGATCTGCATCATAGAAAATTCCAACTACAAAATCTCGGTAAAAAGAAATATAAGCTCACAATCAAGAATCCACTGGACAGAGAAATAGAAGATCATTATGACATCACCATCAGCTGCCAAGATAAAGGATTTCCACCTCTTCACAGTGACTATAAATTATCAGTCCATGTTGAGGATGTTAATGATGTACCGCCCACATCATATAAGAAGGTCTTTAAGTTTTTCGTGGATGAGAACAAAAAGCCCAACACATCAGTCGGCTTTATAAATGCCACTGACCCAGATCTTGGGGCTGGAGGTAAGTTCACCTATTCCATAATGGCCCACAATGAAAAGTTTCTACCTTTTCGGCTAACAGAGGATGGACTGATAACAACACTTATAAGCCTGGATCATGAATTGCAGGAAACTTATAAATTCCAGGTTTTGATGAAAGATCATGGGGTGCCATCACTGAACAGCACAGTGAATATAATCATTAAAGTTATGGACGAAAATGATAATGCACCATTTTTTATATTTCCAAATATGGACTCTCACAAAATTGATGTACTTTATTATCCACATCAATCAAAGAATATAACTGTATTAAAGGCTTCTGATCGAGACAGTCGAGAAAACGCATTTCTGAAGTATGAAATAACACGAGGCAATGAAAAACAACTGTTCTCCATTAACCGTTACACTGGACACTTGTCTTCAGCCCACCCAATCCGAAAAGAAGATGCTGGCTCTTATGAACTTGAATTTGTCGTCAAGGACAGTGGTAGTCCAGCTCTGTCAGCAACAATGATGCTGCTTTTAACACTACGAGTTGACAACAGAACGACAAGTGAAATGGCAAATTCCGTGCAAATTCAGGATGATGACAAAATGCAAGTCAACTTAGTTATTACCATTACAGTTATTGCTGTTATCATTTCTATTGTTATTACAGCTTCGATTTCAGTCTGTGTCCTCAGGTGTAATGCTCAGGATAATGATCCATTTTACAATGATCTAAATCCTTCTAAGCAATGCTTTCAAGACCAAAGGTATTTAATGTACCCTACCTATCAAACCACTACTTGGCCCGGCATGTACATGACTATTGACAAGTCTGCAAATTGTCGCTCAGCGGAATTTAAGAGGGAATTATGTCAAGGTTATACACCTAATAATGGACAGAATGGATCTCCTTTAATGATCAAACCCTGGGTACCAACAGATATTGCATGTCAGGTAAGTAAAAAAAAATAATAATAATAATAACTACATTTTACAGAGATAAAGTATCTTTTTTTATTTTTTTTTAATTTCAGTCTGTATTTTTTTTATATAATTTTTTCTCTTACATAATGTCTTAAACTCTTGTAGATACAACACAGATAAAAAAAATCCACAAAATATTTGTTTACCAATCCAAAATATTCATATCCAAAAAAAAACACCTGTCTACAAAGCAGTCACAGAATAAAATAAAAAGGATTAAAAATTACTTGACGTAAAAAACTACCTAATTTAGCAAAAAAAAACCATAAGGTTGATGTGCCAGTAAACGATACCTTACCTGGAATAAAATATCAGCATAATTTTTGCATTTGATGTTCAAGTAATTCAGATAACTTTGGAAGTAGAGATATAGTAATAGGTGAAATTAATTTCACTTACTGTTCATTTATCTTGTCGATACTCTGAGTTTCATCCACCCTGCAGAAGACTTGATTGAAAATTTAATTTATTTTTAGTAATCATATTTTTCTTAAAAGACATAATTAATAAATAATTGAATTAGTGATATATTCACCTTGTATACATTTTATTCAATCATAGTGAAAGTATCAATGATGATTACCCACAAATTAAGTCAATTAGTTGCTTGGATGAAATAAAACAACAAACTGATTTTGAAGGGAGAATCTATGCATTTTGTTTATGTAACCTCCATTATTTAATTATTTCTATAAAAGTGCAAAACAAGCATTTGGGCATCATTCTCAAAAAAGAGAGAATTTAAACTTTTAAATGCATTTACTAAAATATCTCAAGTTATAAACATGATTTTTTTTTCTTTTTTAAAGTATTCAGCTGGCTAATGTTTACCCAACTGCCATAGACATTTTTTTAATACCATTTCCCTTCAGATGGCTCTCCAAAGATTCCTTTGCTTTTTTTTTTTAATCAGTATCACCCCATGCAAGGCAGTAAAGTTACTAAGACACAAGGGATTACAGGATGTGGAAGAATTAGGAACAGAAACATTAATAATGAACAGGAAGAGAAAAGAGTAATCAAAAGGACAGTGAATAGTGATTGATGTTGCATTTAAATTTTTTAAGATTAAAGTTGGCTGGAAAGCAGGTGAAACACACGAGAAAAGAAACTGTTAGCCTATATCTTACGGCTACATCTAGCCAGCTTAACTGTAAATTGACGAGATCTTGACACCAGTCTAGTACTGCGCTTAAATTAAAAATAGTCTAGGTCCATAGTGAGGAGCTCATTTGAACAATTACCATGAAAGTATTTATAGAAAATACACAGAGAGGCAACCTTATGGTGGTGGGAAAGGAGCTTAAGATAAATAGCAGAGGCACCAGATCAGTATTCTAAGCATGGACGATTGGTAGACTTATAGATATGTAAGATAGATTCTGGAGAAAAAATTGTCTTGTGTGACATAGTGAAGCAACTTTCTTAGCAGCTGATGTAGCAATGAATTCAATATAGAAAATCTACATAATCTGCAAATTACCATGTGTTTTTTGTTGACCGGATGAAGGCCAGTGGGTATAACAGTTGAAATGCTATGATAAGAACAATAGTCTGTGTGTAAATAAGGTAAATATATATACTCAGCCTCCCTGCCAAGTCTGGATGTGACACAAAGTCGTGGGGAGTGCCATATGCATACATATGCATATGGGCCAAGGACAAAAATTGTCATTTTGTCCAGCCCCAGTAACCACTGTCGGACTGCCATCTGTATTAAACTGACTCCCACCTCTCTAAATGCAATGAGAAAGGTGCTACTGCAGTGTTGGGATCCAGAGAGCTGAGCAACTTCTCCTATCTAAAATGAGGAGAAACCTAGCTCCACATACAACACAGGAGCAATAACCACACCCTCATTGGCTAATGGTCAAAACTTATTAATTCTAGGTTTATTTCTCTTTTTAGGTTGGTTTGGTGATTTGTTTTTGTCTATTTGCATTTGTTCACTACAAAGATATGCTTACAGTTAAAACTACTTTACTATCTTGAACGAGCTCTGAAGAGATAAGACCAAAATCAGTCAGCTGTCTGTTGGCTCATTTCTCTTTCTTTTTTTCTTTTTTGCACTCCCATTCATGGTAATTATAATTTCTTTTCTCCTCTTTCTTTTCTTAAAATAATTTCAGTAACATACAAGGTGTTGCTGAGTGTGAGAGAATATGAGAAAAGGAGAGCTTTAAGGAGAGAGAACAATAAAAGATTAAGAATTAAGACAGAAGATAACAACTGACGTTGCATTTAAATTTTTATATATTTCTTCCAATGTGTATGTCCTTTTTAATAACAATGATAAAATTCTGTTCCTCAAAGAAAATCTTTTAAGTTAAAATTATATTTATGATTAAAAGGCATTGAATTGCCTTCTTCAATATTTAATACAAAAGATTTATTTATTTATGTTTCCTTTGTATGTCTGTTACTTAAATGCCTTCCTAAAGACAAGAACAACATTAAAAAATTCACTTAAATCTTTAAAGGTACATCAGTGATTATCAGAGATTTGTGATTTACCTAATATAGTTCAAACATTTTTCTTCAGATTTTCTTGTTAATATTTCTTCTAATGCTGGAGATTGATTTGTTTTAGATGATACTGGTTATTTAAATGAGCCTCTTTAAGAACCTACACAGAGGAATTTCTTCAAAATTTCTAAAGTTATATCTATTGTTCTTGGAGAGTTTTTTTATCTATTGAGTAGGTATTGTTATTTCTAAAGATTTTTTTTTCCCCCACTGATTAATAGTTAATACAATAGGTGCATTCACTTTTCTTTTTTTCTTTTTTTTTGCCTTTACTGCATATTTATGACTCAGATAGCTTCCTTAAGAACATAGCCACATAACCTGAGAAATTCCCCACAATTTTGTTTAACATTTTCACATTCCTTTGAGGAATAGTAGAAGTCTACTCTCCAATTCACATAAAAAATGAATTATGAAAAAATTATACTTACCAGATTTGATTTCAATATAAAAAAAAGACAACAGTAGGTACACGGCTGGAAAAATAAAAGGAAAAAAGGAAATAATAAGATGATGAAAAAAAAATTGAAATATACAATAGTATTTTTGTATAATCTTATGAAAATTGTTCTCCACTATGCACATCATTCAGGAAAGTAAAATAGATATCTTAAAGAAACCCTTAGAAAATATAACATAAAAAAAAAGCAATGTAAAATAGATTGAAAAACTGGTTCAGTAATATTTATTTATTTATGAGGAGGAGGAGGAGAGAAAGGGAGAGTAGAAGAAATGAAAAACAGTCTCAATTCAAGCTATGTTGTTAAAAATACAATTTCATTTTTGTTGTTTTTCTATTTCCTTTTCTGTAATTTTTTTCTACTTATCCTTATCTCTGAAAATTCCATATTCCTCTTGTTTTGAAAGCCCTGGAAAATATGCTTCCCTTTTGAATATGTCAAAATTGACTCCAACTACATTGTTTGCATGAATGCTTTCAGTTTAGCCGGGAATATTTGCAGACACAATAACTGGCCAACTGAGTGCTGAGCATTTTATTCCATTATCTTTCTGTATCTTGGTTTGGTAACAGTTAAAACAGTTTACTTCAATCAGATACACTTTTGAATAAAGGATAAAGAATTTTTTTTTTTTTTTTTTTTTTTTTTAATCATTTTACCCTAAGCAAGGTGATAATGCCACTAGGATGCAGAGGTTTACAGGGAGTGAAAGAGAATGAGAATGAGGAAAAGACAATAAAGGAACAGGGTTCAGGAAAACAGAACATTTAAATTTTTGAAGATTGTATGTGGCAGGGAAGTAAGGGATCGGAAAGAAGTTCCACGGGCGAGAAGTGTGAGAAAAACTTTAAATAGAAGTGGCAGTTATATCGAGCTAGTTCAACAGTAAAATGGTGAGACCAAGTTGCTAGTTTAGTAGTGTGCTTAAATTTTTGCATCCAAGGCACTAAGGAAAAAAAGCTCATCAGAACAATTGTCATGAAAATATTTGTAGAAAATACAGGGAAGCCATGCAATGTTGGTGAAGTTAGTGACTGAAGTTGAGGTGCCAAGATCAGGATCGATTACATTACAGATCCTTCTTTGAATTTTGTCAAGAACTTCAAGATCTACAGCAGGAACAGTAGACCAGATATAACAGCAGTATTCGATGCACGGTTGAATGGTAGGTTTATAAATGTGCAAGATGGGTTTTGGAATAACACATTGTTAACCGGCTTCTCTAGCAATAGACATCTAGTTGAGATCATTGTTATAGTTTTTGTATTCAGATTTATAAAGTGAAGGTATCATTTCTGTTATAATTTGTTAATCAAAACTTTGTCATGTCAAAAGTATTGTAAACTATAAGAATTGTTTTGTTTTTTTAAAGATAAGGCATTGTCTGTATTTCTGATTTGATTCAAGCAACCATTTTCTTATTGATATGAAGAAGGCAGAAAGTTTATCTTATTGTCCAAGATGTTCCCTGAATTTGTGTCATATGAAAATTGTAATTAGCAACAGAGACAAAAATGTTGGATTGTATTATGCAAGTCTATATTTTTGCAATAAAAGTGTTATTTCCAATCAATGTTGGTAAAAATGTTCAGGATACCATGTGATTTTCAGCTGATAATATATGCATTTTTTAATAATATTTACAATTACTTATTTGTTGGTGTGAGATTATTTTTAATTAATTAAACAGTTGACATTGTATTGTAAATATATACAATAATATAGTTATTCATATTTATATTTTAATTTCAGATATTGAAGATAGCCATAGATTATAAGAATGATATAACTTCAAAAGAGAACCAAGATATTGTAAAGTTACTGGGTGAGAGGGTCACAACTTTGGAAATTGCAAAAAAAAAAAAGAAAAGGAAATGAAGATCATAAAACAATGAACAAGAGAAGCTGAAAATGTTGGCAAAATAAGAACAGATCATTGGCTTTAAGAATGTCACAAAAAGAGATTACTGAAAAAGCAAAAAT